GGCATAGCAAGGTTTTTTTTTTGTTTAAACTGCTCTACCCGCGTATGTACATATGTATGTATGACATAAAATTACATAAGTACATACGCGAAATTTACCCTGCGGGGAGCCCCAAACTAGTGAACGAAATTCCTAGTTCCCGACTAGATCTGTACCGTAAAAAAAGAACAGGTCCCATGGTAATTAAGTAGATCCCCAACAACTGTTAAAAACCTATTTATTTTTACTTTTTAAAGCTACATTTAGGTAAAAAGTTGCTGCCTAAGTTCACTTATTCTAAAAAAATAAAGTATTGAGACAAAAAGTACTAGAAGCGTCCCAGTTCAGAACTAGAAATTTTCCCCACAGGGTATTAATTTTCTTGCTTACAATTGTACGAGTATTATACACACACACACATACACATAGATAATATTATTTCCGCTGAATATTTTGCTTGTTATTTCTTTGCTTAACATAAATTTTCATTTCTTTAGATACCGGAAGAATGAGAAAATATAAAAATTTAAGCAAAACACATATGATTGAAAGAAAAAGAAAACTTTATGCTTGATTTGTCGCCATTCTGCAAAGTTTTTCCGTACATAGTATTTACTTTCATACATATATGTATATTTAGATTTATGCTTACTTATTCGGCATATACAAAACAAATATTGCCGGCCTCCGAATCTATTCTGCTCTGAAGGAAGTTGTAATTTGGCGCTGTAAAGTAATTTACCACAATGCCAGAAGAACTTAGCTTTGATTGGAATGCAAGGAAGCGATGCTTTGTGAAAGTTAAATAAATTGAATGTGGGCGTACAAATTATATTATCCTGCCGAGCATTGTATTGTTGTATGTGGGCGGCGCGAATTTGTTAAGTTTTGAAAAAGACCGGCTTTATTATTTTTCATTTTTTTTGGCAGATTTGTTCTTTGCTCCAAATCGTGCCTATAGTATTTATGTGTATTATTTCACACTCAGAGTCAAGTTTTTGGTGCTTTCATATACATTAAATGCGTGTTGGTATTTGAATTCAAATTCCAAATGACATTATTTATTACAAGGGAATTTATGATTTATTTGTACTTAAATTTGGCTGACACCGGAAAGTTAAAAATATTTTGTTCCTTGGCAATACTTGCTTGCATTTTTGTTGAAATTTTCCTGTTGGTTACAAAGAACAGGTCGAAAAAGTCACCATTTTTCTTTCTTTAATTTTGCTATATTAATTTTAAGTTGGTGCTTTAATTTAATATGTGAAGTTTAAAAAAATATCGCCCTTGGTACAAATATTGATAATCTAGTAATATTGGTTATAATAAGGGCGTAGCTTCGGTTTTGAAGGGATTCGCTGCGGTAATATCCTCTAAACTGGAGAGTAGGGTAACCAACTTTTGAGATGCCAAGAACCCGATATTGCAAAATAAAATTATTTTTTTTTTTTGTTGGTTTTTATTAGTGTATCTTAAGAAAAACTTTAATTCAACTCTGGCAGGTCACAGCCTAGGTGAAAACATGAAGGAAATACTAAAAATTTTATCAATGTAGTTAAATTTATTATGTCTAATTTTTAATTAGAATGATACAGCCCGCGTCAAAATGATAGCTTCTCAATATTTTGAAAAGTTTTGACTATTTATCTAATTAAATTAATTAAAAATTAAAAATTACGTGTCTGAGCGGTTTCAAGCGCAGCGAAGCTTCAAGTGTTCAGACTAAATGAGTCACCGCGGAACTTTTACATGCAATATTAAATGTATTTACAAACATGTATTGCAATAGATCGGCTGTAAAGATACCAAAAAAATAATTCACCCTCAATGAAAGGCTTCTAAGTTATTGGATGGATTTGTTTCAATACATTTTTAGAAAAATATATTTTTGCTTAATTATTAGCAAATACCCGGCGTGCTTCCCTTCACCTTAAAAGTACATATTTTTCGCTAAGCCTAAATTTCTTAGTTAATATCGTTTTGAGATATTTAGAAACAAAGCTTACTTAAACCTCTCTCGTTTTGAACTGGTGGCAACCCTACAAAATATTTTCGTAAAACTGTTTCAACCTTTCTCGCTTAAAACTCAACTAAAATATTTTATTTCACTTTTTAATTACATTGGTTTTTAAATTCTAAAGAGTTGTCACCCCCGTCGAATGTAAATTCGAAATAGAACTTCCTTAAATCTCTTTTACTTGATACCCATATAAAATTATTTAATTTAGCGTATTAGTTAACTTAATTTTGCAATTGCCAACCTTGTTATTTAGATAGATTTTTAATATCGAAACAAGTGGCAACGCTCTTCAAACACATTTTCGAAGTAAACCTTTCCAAAACTTCTTTCGTTTTACAGCCACATAAAAATATTTCATTTAATAAACTTAACGATTAATTGATTTTAAGTCTCTCGCCAGAATGCAGCTTTTGTCAAAAATATTTCTGAAAAGGAGCTTTCCTAAACCTTTCTCGTTTAATAACCATATAAATTATTTAATTTAACATGTTAAATTGGTCAAAATCAATGAACAGGGGGAAGCCTATTTCAAAAATATTTTAGAAACAAAAGCTTACTTATACCCCTCTCGTTTGACACCTAAATTACATTCGTTCATTTTCAAATAGGTGGTAACCACCTATTCAAAATTTTTTCGAAATAAAGATTTCTAACTACGCGGAAATGTTTCGAAACTGATAAAAGATATCCTATAACCATTTTAATCATTATTTTACATTGAAAAATGTTAAGCTTTAGATTTTACGATGCTTAATACGTGTTTTAAATCCCCTAAATCATTACGCATAATTAAAAAAAAACATACTTAATAACTAACAACAACTACTAGGTGAGATCACTCCATATATTTTTATTGCCAAAATACTCGTGATTTATCAAACATATATACATACTTCCCACAAAAAAGCAAGTCATGCCATGCCTTGTCTTATTTGAGTATTTAAGAGAGTGAGAGATACTGAATAATAATGCAAGATGCAATTGAAATATTTTTTTATTACTCGTAGTATGCATACATACCTATCTACAAATGTATTTACACAAGTATACATGCATACATATATATACTGATAAACAAATTTGTATAACTATGTATAAATAAATACGATCAGTAAGCTACTACCGCTGAGAGCTGATTTTATACCTAATATTCGCTTACTCTTATTATACACATACACTTGTGGTCAGATGATTAAGTTAAGTGACATCTTGACCAGTTTTGGCTGTTTTTCTTTTGTCTATTTAATGCCTATATTTTTTTTATAAAAGTCTGGCACATTAAATTAGCAGCACCACATAAATCAACATTTCAGACTTCGTACAAATATTAAAAAATTTTAACACACTTTAACAAATACTAGGTACAACCTATATTATTATTTATTTAAAAAAACAAGCATATAGATCCAAGTCCCAACCTTTGTGCAATAGTAAAAAGATACTTTCGTAAAAATTTTGAGATTCCTAATTAGATTTCTTAGAAATATTTTAGTATGCAGTTTCCTAGGCAAAATATTTATAAGCAATCTACTTCAAAAAAAATATCGAAAAGTTAGTTGGTTTTCTAAATATTGCACATTGCTTCCATATACCGAATAAAGAGAACTTATTTTTATATGGAAGAAAACCGTAACATCTTCTAAAAAGAAATTCTAAAAAATCAACGGTAATTTTTAACCATTTTAAAATTGTACTTGATTCTACTAGAATTCAATGGCCAGCAAAACTGCACACCCTTAATCTTTTTAGGTCGACATTTTTAAGAAAGTTTGTTGATTTATTTAATTGCACTAAGTTTAAGATTTTTTTTTGCTGCGGATTTTTCGGTTTTTTTTTTCATATAAAAAGCGAAATTTAACAAAACTGGCGTTGACGTATTTTTAATTTTTTCCCAAAAGGTCTTGCGCATATTCTTCTATAAAAAATTCATATTTATATGGGAAAAAGTTCAAAACGCTGTCAACAAAGAACATTATTAAAAATCAATGCGATTTTTTAGCCGCTCAAAACTTGCACTTATTTTACTAGAATTATAGAGGCTTGTTAACTGCATTCCCGAAAAATTTCTAAAAATTCTGGTTCAAAAGCCCGAAATTTAAATAAAAATTTGTGGAATTTTTCTACGTTCTGTATAAAATTTGAAAGTGTGATTTTGTGTGTGTGTGTGATCTAAGTTCTGTATAAGGTTTGAAAGTGTGATTTATGTAGTTTTCGTTAAAGCTGAAACATATCTTTTATAAAATAATATCAAGAAAAGTTTTAGCCTGAAAGATATTGTAAATATAAAAAACGAAAAACCATTAATCCGTTTTTCACACACGCTTTTAAACGAATTGCTGCTAAATTCCTTTCCTCTACTGTAGATACACGAGCGCTAACTAAACCAAACTACATATATACTTGTATAATTAATGCTCTCTGGTTTGAGTGGCGCGATACTCTCTGCGCTTTATCGCCTACTACGTACTCGTTGTACTATCTGACCAGCGTTGCCGTTTTGATACAACTGTATGATTTCTATTTACTTTTTTTCTAAATTTTGTGATTTGATACTTTGATGATTTTTTGTTCACAAATGCATTTTTGAATAATATTACTGGTTTAATTTTATTTATTTTATTTTAATTTAATTTTTTTCTTGTTATCTAAAGCCTTAAAAATTTTTATGTATTTATAAGTTTGATTTGGTAACTCTTATAAGGGAAATACAACCCGGAATTTCTTTGCACACCCCCACCACACACAACCACACAAAAACATTGCGCAATATCACGCTTGTGTTATTGTACAATAATTTTTGTTGCGTACGGCGACAACTGGACAATTTTTAGTCTATTTTTGATTTTGGTGTCCAGATCATCTCTGGCTGTTTGCTAGCGCAACCGGCTAAATCTAGCCGGAAAACTCTAAACTGGCAACACTGGTCCCTGCTTTGGCTTATGATCAGCCACGCGAGAGGGAGAAACATGATCACTTTTATTAATATTTGAGCAACGATAAGAAAACTTGCTAAACTAGAAGCTCAGAAGTCAACTACAAATAACTATGTATGAGCACCTATGTAAAATATACATATATGTACATATAGTTGTTTATATACTAAGCAGCTAATATTTTCTAGTCTCATTTCACACGCGCTAGTGTGGCGCACAACGTTCTGTTAAAAATATCATAGAAATTTGCGAAATACGTAAAGGAATTATTATTTTTAATTGAAGAAAATTGCGACGAGCATTGCAATTGAATTAATTAATACGAAATAACTGTCTTAAATTCATGTGAACTTGTAAATAGTTTTTTAGTGCATTATTTGCTTCGGTGTCAGTATTTTATTTTCGCTCTATAACTGTGTATTATGCATTTAACAACTGCGCTACTGTTGGCTGCAGCTATTTTGCTGGGCTCTAATGTGGAGGCCTATCGCTTCTTAGGCGTTCTTCATACCGCTGCCAGATCACATTTCATAGTAGGCTCAAGCCTGTTGAAAGAATTGGCGCGCAGAGGCCACGATGTCACTGTCATTTCACCATTTCCTCTCAAAGAGCCACTAAAAAATTATCATGATATTGAAATACCGACCGCCAAGAAAGCTATGGATGGTGAGTGTGATTTGTTAGATATTAATAAGCACGTGTATATATGTACAAAAGTATGTATATAGGTATGTGAATATGTATTTAAATGCAATGTAAATATAGATAAGGATGCATATACCTATGGTCCTCTGCAATAACGACACAACTCAAAATTAAAAAAAAAGCCTTTACTACTGTGTAGGGCCTCTTATCTCTAATAATTGTCTTATCCATGACTTATTCTTCTACTCGCTTTACTTACCTTTACTACTTACTTTAGTAAGGATTAGACGCAGACATGGCACGTTAGGATTTGGGGTTTTGAGTTTTGAGTTGTGTCGTTATAGCAGAGCACCATACATACATATATATGTGTAGTATTTACAGCTAAACAAAGTGGGCGCCAATGAAAAATTCGTATAAACCTGATTGATTAAGGTTTAAGTGGCTTACTTGAGTAGATAATAAAAACTGCATGTCTCTTGGAAATAAACAATATAGATAAATATCTGTGTAAATAACTGTGCTGTTGAAAGTTTTAAGTTCAATTGTGTAATTGACAGCGATCAGGAAAAAATAGTTGAATTTCTTTTCTGTTCTCAATCAAATTTTCTCTTATACCATGTTCTGACCGACAACGAAAACACTTTGAAAACGTGTTTTGGGATTGTGGGCTGAAGACTGTTCACACCGGCTGTTAGTGTTTTCGTTGACATTTCTTACAACCTCTGATTACAGTTTTTCTACACAAAAACATAACCAAAATGCTTTTCCCTCATGTTCTTTTCATTAGCAACCTCTTACTTTCATTCTTATTTTACCTTTGCCAGCCAATTAACAATAAATCCGAAATGGCGTTTTAAAGATGATAAAATATGACTTCCACTTCGATAAATAATCGAAAAAAACTAGTGAGGACACCGATTGGAATGAGTTGAACGTGAGTTTTCAACTAGTTTTCAGCGAAAACTGGTTTTCGTTTGACAGATTTTACATGGACGAAAACACAAGTTTTAAGTCCAAAACCAGTTTTAGCAACGAAAACATGTTTTCGATGTCGGTCAGAACATGATATTAGTTTTTAGATTTTATTGTGTTAAAATAAGCTTAAATTCATTTTAACTCATTTAATCTCTTTGGAAATTGATTTTGTTTTTTTGTTTTTTTCGTTTAAATTTCAAATAATTTTTTTTCGTTTATTGTTTCAAATGATAAAAAAAAATGAAGTTCCTGAAAAAGTACCTAATGGAACAAAAAAACAAATATTTTTCTTTTTAAAATAATTTAATCTAAAAAATTAAAATTACACTAAAAAATAAAGAAAAAAGTAAATTAAAAGGAAGAAAAAATTTGTAAATCAAAATTATTGCAGATAATCGTTCTATCAATTTTTACCAAATTTGATACAATTATTATTCTTGACACACAAAAGCTAGGTGTGTAAAATTTTTGAAACCGGACTAAAATAACGCCCATTAACAGTAACAGTAAATTTCTGAAATGCTTGAAACTTCGGTATTTCGAAATTTAAGGATGCTAATTTTACCCAAAATTGATCCTCACAACAATCCCTTAAAAGTAAATATCAAGTAAAGGAATTTTATAAAATGGGCGAGGTTCCGCCCGCTTATAACTATTTATCTCACTAAATCTAACTGAACATACTAGCGAAGATGTTTGAAATAGGAATAAAACGGTCTCTGCTTAACATGCAGCGGTGGTATTCGCAAAGGTGAAAAACTATATTGACTAGTATTTTATTTTTTCTCATTTTTAAATTTGATTTTAACATGTTATTGTTTTAAAGGAAAAAAATATTATTTAAAATTCATTTAATTTTACCGGTTTCAGGAAAGCAGTTTAAGCGAAAAATTATATTTTTTTCTGTTAGTTTACATATTAAATTCAAATAAAAAAAAAAACCTTTTTCACTTAAATTGCTTTCGTGAAAATGTCAGTAATAGACATATTTTTTTCTTTCCTAAGATTTTTTTCTTTTTTGTTTAACTTTCTTTAGGTTTTTAGCTTTTATTGTTTAAATAAAAATTGTGTTTTTAATTTCGTTTGACTTTAAAAAACCTGTTTTAATTACGTTGAATATCTTCTTTTCTTTTCTTATTTAATTTTTTATTTTTTTTTAAGGAAAATATATCGTCGTTGTTTTTGCAAAACCGCTCCTATCTTACGGCACTCAAACTTTACAGTAAAGCGAAAAAACGGCGTTTCTTTGAAGGCATTGCCTTGAGAGGGGGTTTTTTCTCTAGCTGTTATTTTACAAATCTGTTGTTTTAATAACTATTTTACAATTTTTATGCATAAATCTGGGTGCCTGGAGTTCAGGGTTACCAAGTCTCATTTATGCCACAACGGCGATTAAGGAGGTTTAGCAACTGGCCGATGGGCGGTTTTGTAAAAACATCGACAATATATATTTTTTGATGACTTAATTCTTAGAAAACTTATCACAAAAAGACAGTCAAAAACGCTAGGACCTCCTTGTTAGCAGATCTTTCAATTAGTCTTTCGAAAGACAGGAAATAGATTTCAAGACAGTTGCCAGAATTTACAATTTCCTTACGAAATACTTTTGTTTTCCGAAAGCCCGTGTCGAGTTGAAAGACAGTTGCGTAGGATAAATTTCTTTAGCACGTGGTTCAATAACAGAGTAGATGGAGCCCCAGCCAGTTGTGTGGCCATTTTGATAATTTCATTGCCTCCCAATGCGCCATTGATGCCTTTGACATTCAGTATTTTGATCCAAGTATGTATAATCACTGAATCGAATCTTACAGCAAGCATGGAGGAGTGGTTAAGTTTGAGAAATAATGAAAGTTGGTAAGGAAATGTAGGAGGTGAATATGGTTATTCTCGAATATTGCCAATTCCTAACACAGCCTTGCTTTGACTAATACTAATGTACGAGAACGAACTGAATTACCATCAGTGGTCTTAATGTTAATTTAAGTTATTGATTGAATAACCGGCTAAATGGAAAGGATTTGCAAAAAAAAAAATACAGATCGATAAAACATATTTAATAAACTTCTTATGTGCATACACGCTCTTCACAATATGTCTGTTCAAATATAAAATATAGGTACATATGTGCTTAATATAAGTTTGTATAACAGATACCTTATAACAAGAATAATTCGTATATTAATACCGCACAAATGATAACATTAATAATGATTTTTATTAAGACCAACTAGTCGAAATGCGTGTGTGAGTGTAATTGAGTGAATTGAGTGCTTTTGAGAATATTTAAGGCATGGAGACTCGTTTTGAATCTCTCGCAAACAATGCACAGAAAACACAGTCAAATCTTAATAAAGTTTTGAAGTGCTTTGCTATGTCGTTCAACTTGTTTTTTTTTTCTATGAAATTCCAAATATTAAAAAAAAATCGTAATCAACTATTTCTTCCCCGTACTAAAGAATTTAATTTTGCAACACAAAAACAAAAGTTAAAGCGAATTATGTAAGCATTGCAAATTCTAGTTTTTTCGATAAGTTAGTCGAAAATATATAAACTAAGTAAATATTTATATAACACAAAGAAAAATGAACAAAAACCTGCCATTAGAGTGGTTCACAAAGAATAATGTCGGATCTTTAATGCCGCCACCCCCTAGGATTATTCTGAACCAATAAAAAATATACCCCTATTTTTTATTTTGAAATCAAAAAATATTTATGGAGTGCTCAAAGCGCAAAAAATTTTCCATATATTTCATATGGGGAAAAAACAACTTTTTGTAGAATTTTATAATTCTTGAAAATCAATATTTTCGATCGGAAAACCTTGATTTTCTTCAGGAGATTCCCAGTAATAATATCCAATTTTTTCTTTAAACATTCTTTCAAGGTAACTGTATTTTATAGGTCCCCAAAAACCCCCAGAAAATGCAATGGGGGGAACAATAAAAAGTTTTTAATATTAAAAAATTATTAAAGAAACAATTGGATATTAATATTGGAAGTTTCCTGAAGAGAACCACAGTTTCCCGATCGAAAAATATTGATTTTCAAGAATGTTATACCGTTTCTACGAAAAGTGGTTTTTCCCCATATTTGAAAAAAAAAATAGGGGTATACTTTTTTCGGTATTCACATATATTTTAGGACCATTTTACTGTTCAGTAAAGTAAGTACTAAAACATAGTGACCCTACGCACTTTATTTCTAAAAATAAACACAGAAACCAGCGTGTATTGACAGTTAGACTTCACTATAGGCGACATGCATAGCGCATGCAGTCCATAATACATACATACATACTTAGTAGACTTTACACAAATATGAATTATCTACTATATAGGCACATTGATAATAACAATGCAGTTGTATTTTTTACATGAGACACTCCCTTATTGCATTGTTAAGAAGTTTGTCGCTAGGTACTTATTTATTACATATAGCCGCTGAAAATTAACTAAGAGTGTACAAAAGCTTGCCATAATTATAAGCGCACCACATATTGGAAAAGTTTAAATAGTTTTTTTTTGTTATTTTATTTTAGTTATTAATTCATACAAATTTAGTTTATTCTTAAATAAAAACCGTGTAAATTCAAATTTAAAATTTTGTGCAATATTTAATAAAAATGTAAAAAAACTGTCGTAAAAAATTCAATTTTGTTAAGAAACGATAAAGACTATATTTCCATATAAATTCAGTTATTATTTTATGTATCACATGCAGACACTTTATCGGCACTTGCTGTATGCTTACCGGTTAAAAGTTGCCCTTAAATATTAAAAAATAATTTGGGTCCAAATGACCCAGAAACACTGTGGGTGTATGGAAAAACTATGTCGCCTTCTAGGAAACAAAATAAAATAAAAAACTCCCTTATTTTTTGCAAAACCATACATGCAAAAGGGTTAAAATAAAATCTAAAGGGCTACAAAACTGCAAAAATAAAATCTTTCTACAAGACTGAATGAAAAATCGTTAAATTGTGTTACTGAAAAAAAAATTGTGTTAGGAAAAATGGAAAAAGCAACAAAGTTTAAAGCTTGCAATTTTTCCGAAAGTTTTGTGGCATTTTTTTTTAATATTGTACAAAACTTGAAACTTGAATTAGCTTTATTAAAAAATAACTATAATTTCATAACAAAAAAATTAAACGTTACAACTTTTCAATATGTGGTGCGCTTATAATTTTGACACGGGGTGTATAATTATTATTCAAGCGAATATTTAATCAACTAGAGTGTTTACGTTCAATATAAGAAATTTATTCTTTTAATATAAAATGTTATCAATTTAACCAACTGTGAAAAAAATATTGTCGCATAAAAAAAAAATTTATTTGGAGAGATGTGCACTTGCATTTTCAAGAAATATTGAAAACTTCGGGCAATTTATTATTGTTGACTCACAATAAATAGACTTCAGAATGTTGAGGGATATTATAGCAGGTATAATTTCTGGCTCTTAAGCATGCGTTTTTTTTAATATTTTAATTTCATCGACAAAAACAAAAATATCATAAAATCAAGTTTTCATTTGAATGGAGGGCCGGAAATCTGCTTTTTTAGATTGGTAATAGCAAAAATGTGGTTCACTATGCTCTTAAAGAATCTGTGTCAAATTTGAAATCTTTTGGTCAATATCCTAGGCTCGATCAAGTCCATCAAAGTTCAATGTGTCCATCAAAAAATTTTTGTCTTAGCTTACTTCGATCGCAAATTTAATTAAAAAGTCCTTTTTTGCGAAGAAAACACACTTAGGTTAGGTTTAGATTATCTCGGCTGCCCTCATCGCTATGGAAAAGGGCACACCTAGGCCATCATGTGTCCGTTGTGATGCCATATTAGAGGCTCCATATGTTCCACCTCTTACTTTAGAAATGGAGGTTGAGAACTCCAATAACATGTCGCGGCAGTGGTCGCTCCAAGCGTTGGAGACGGCGAGATCTAGACTCCGCATATTATCTGATATTTGCCCGTTCGATAAAGTTATTCTCCAGCCAGAGTTTGCAAGAAAATAGCGGCATGCCCATATTACGAGCTGTGCTGATTGCACACAGCAAGCTGCCTTCCCTTGCTAGTTCATCTGCAACACAGTTTCCCGGTATGTCTCTGTGGCCTGGCACCCATACAACATTAAAACTTAATTTATGTTTTTTTTTCTATTACATTTTTGGTAAATTGTCAAGCATATCCAAGAATAAAATTTTAAAAGGACATTTTCTACATAAGTAACCTTAATCTTCTTTTCTCTACAGGTGCCTTATCTAATCTTTTGAGCGCCATAGAAAAAAGTGTCGTTGAGAATGTGAAGGGTTTCCATGATATGGGCATAGATATATCGCGCGCATTTTTACAAGAGCCTGGCGTGCAGGAGCTTTTGGCGAGTAATCAAACATTCGATGCCGTTATTTGCGAAATTTTTCTCTCTGAATCACTCTTTGGTCTAAGCGAGCACTTCAATGCACCGCTTATAGGTTTGGGTACCTTTGGCGCGCATCCCTGGAACACAGATATGGTGAGTAGCATGCATGCAGTTGCCATCGAACCAGATTTTTCTTAACTTAATTCCATTTTCTCTCACAAAGGTTGGTTCTCCTTCTCCACCTTCGTATGTACCGAGCGCAATGCTGCCATTCACCGATCACATGACCTTGCTGCAAAGAGTTGGAAATTTGGCTTACAATATCTTCGAGCGTTTACTACTTGATGTATACTATTTACCACAACAAGAAGCGTTATACAAGAAATTCTTTCCGAACAACAAACGTGATATGTACGATGTGCGTCGTAATGCCGCTTTGGTGCTGGTCAACCAGCACGTCTCGCTCAGCTACTCCCGGCCTTATGTACATAATCATATCGAAGTTGGCGGCATGCATATCAATCGTAAACGCTCACCACTGCCAGCTGATTTGGAACGTTTTATCAATGGTTCACAACATGGTGTAATCTATTTCTCGATGGGTTCCAATTTACGCAGCAAAAATTTACCGCTGGAGAAGCGCCAAGCAATACTCGAAACATTCCGTGGCCTAAAGCAGCGTGTGCTGTGGAAATTTGAAGATCCAAATCTCGAGGGTAAACCTGATAATGTGTACATAAGCGAATGGTTTCCACAAGACGATGTACTCGCTCATCCCAATGTGCGCATCTTCATCACACATGGCGGCCTACTCAGCACCACTGAATCGATTTACCACGGCAAACCTTTTATTGGCATACCGATCTTCGGTGATCAATTTTTGAATATGAATCGCGCGCAAGCCGGTGGTTACGGCATACGCGTGGATTATACCACACTGGCAAAGGACAACTTCAAGGCGGCCATTGAGCGCATGTTGGCCGATGGCAGCTATGCCAAGCGTGTGGCCGATATGTCAGCGCGTTATCGTGATCAGCCCATAGAACCGCTGGATTTGGCCGTCTACTGGGTGGAGTATGTGGTGAGAAATAAAGGCGCCAAGCATTTGCATTGTGCTGGACAGGATTTGAATTTCATACAGTATCATAGCATAGATGTTTTGTCGATCGTAGTTGGTGGGCTCTCCGCGTTGCTCTTGCTGATCTTCGTGCTAATACGATTCGCATGGCGTTGGCTGCAATCTGCGCTTGCACGCAAGGATGTCAAGCAGAAGAAGCATTGAAGTGAATGCCGGGCATTAGTTTCGAAGTAACTAAGTCATTTTAGCTAGCCGGCTAACTAGTCATTAAAAATGGTGCTTTTTTAAGTTTTCAGGCGTGTTTAAAGAAAATAAAGAGAGTTAACAAAATTGAACAAACTTTTGCGTAAAGGGAAATACGTACATACATACTTGCGTGAGGAAAAAAATAAGGTACATTGAGCCAAAAGCGCAATGGTTTTTTCAACCAAGTTATGGTTTGATTTTTTCATAGTCAATAAACCGATTGTAAGAAATGTGATTCAAGTTGTACATTTGAGAACAAATTCGTATGTATGGCAGTGGCTGAATGAGCATAGGTGCTTGCTGTTATTTGTTGGCTTCCAGCGGTACGTACGCTATCAGCGCGATATATAATTTTTATTTTTTTCTATTTTTGGTTTTTCTTAATTACGAAAACACCTCTGTGAAGTGCAGAACCTGATCAAACGACGAAGAAAATTGATTCAAGTGTAACAATTGAAGACACATTTATAAAGCGGCTGTAGCTGAGTGTGTAGAGATGTTTGCTGTTATTTGCTGATCCCGTCAGAGCCTACATGTTAAGATGATAATAAAAATGTTTGTTTTGTATCTCCGAATTATGAAAAATCATCTGTGTAGTGAAGAACATAAACTGATTCAAACGAAAAATCTCCAACCAAAAGTTTGGTTAATGTAAACAAAGTTGTGGTTAATATTACCAAATCATTGTTGAAAATAATAACCAAGGCATTGTTAATATTAATCAAAAATCACGTTGATTCCTTTTCAAGTTTGAATTTGTTAATATTAACCAATTTTTGGTTGATTTTTCTCTCAGTGCACCAATAAAGTAAGATCAAGTCTTGGGTCAACATTTTCGAAACTCGATATACGTGAGTTATCGACTTTTAAGTATCGACTAACTACATTCAAAAAAAAATTCGCGAACCTAGTGACCAAAAGTAGTCAAATTTCATTTTCAGTCTTCTTCTCTGCCGTGAGGATTTCTTTGAAGAACTTTGTAATATCAAAGATGCGATTAATTAAAAAAAAATATTTAAAAAATATAGTGCAATTCAGAATAACAGTATGGGTATTAAGCAAAAGAGAAAATTCGGTTAAATTAAAAAGATAAAATTTTTTGTTCCATGAGGTCGAAAAGATACTGAAAATGTGTCCTTTTAAAATTTCATCCTTGAATATCTTTGAAAATTTGTTATATCTATTTTTGACAAAATTATAATTTTAAGGACTAATGTATTCTTGACAACATCCTTGACCTTTGCCCTTACAACCTCATTAGCAAAAAAATTAAATTTATTAATATTTAATTTTCAATCGTCCTTTGGTTCTTTAATTAATAATAGCTTTGAATATCCGAAGTCCTATAAAAAACACCCTAACTTATTTTTTTATTTGGCTCTAGTTTCGTGATTACATTGATTGTTTCGTGTGTTTTGAAATTTCTTTGTATTTGTCTCACGATTCTTTCTATATCAAAAATTACTCTAAGAAAACCATCGCAACTAAGGCCCAAAACGTCTTGAGCTGAACTTAGATGTTAATTTTATATTTTTCGGAGACACCTATGTACATTAAAGTGGTCCAAAAATGTATGTAAAAAAAATAAGTTCGGGTTTTTAATGCCGCCACCCCCTAGGATTGTTATATACCGAAAAAAATATACCCATATTTTTTTATTTTGAAATAAAAAATAATTTAGGTAGTGCTCAAAGCGGTCAGAGTTTTCCATGTATTTTATATGGAAAAAACATCTTTTCGTAGAAATAGTGTAAAATTCTTGAAAATAAATTTTTTTCGATCAGAAAACTTTACTTATCTTCAGGAGATTCCCAGTAATAATACTCGATTGTTTCTTTGACAATTTTTTCATGGTAACTTTTTTTTATAGGTCCTCCAAAGCCCTTAGAAAATGCAACGGGGGGACCAATAAAAAATCTTTAATCATAAAAAATGGTTAAATAAACAATTGGATATTAATACTGGAAGTCTTCTGAAGAGAACCACAGGTCGAAAAATATTGATTTTCAAGAGTTTTATACCATTTCTACGAAAATTTGTTTTTTCTCCATATAAAATGCATGGAAAACTTTGAGCGCTTTGAGCACTCCTTAAAAATTTTTTGATTTCAAAATAAAAAATAAGGGTATATTTTTTCGATATAGATCAATCCTAGGGTGTGCCGGCATTAAAACTCCGACATTATTTTTTTGTGCATTCGCCAATAAATTTTTTATTTAATTTACTGGAATAATTATAATGCCTCTTTAGCTAAAGTCTAGTGATTTTTGGCTAGCTGTAATTTACTGACATAAGGTTGGTTCGTTAGGGTGATAAGAACTGAGATCTGCTAGGTAAGTATTGGAAAGGGGTCCTTGAGTTCAATGATCTTCGGAACGAAAAAAGGACTTATCATTGGTGTAGGAATAGAGCGTTATATATAGAAATAAAAAAATCGTTTATTAATTATCAAACTATTATCGTATGTGTATAAATAAACAGAATAATAAATTGGTATCATATATTACAATTACTAAAATCACAAAATTAATAATAATGATATATTTTTAATAATAATAGTATATCAAATTAAATCGCCAAATATGTACACGTGTTCATATTGTTTAATTTACTATCTATTTGCATTTCAAATCTCTGTTTTCATTATCCATCAGTTCAACTTGCGTACGCTGCGTCATATTACATTCAATCACCCATATTTTCAATCATCCGACAAACCACTGCGCACTCGCATCCTTACAATCGCGCATCTCCTTCGCCTCTGGGAAAAAAAAAATAAAATAAAAAAAAAACAGAATTCATTCACTGCCAAAGGCGAACGTCTGACCATGCTCTGCTCTCTGCTGAGTGACCCCAAAAATCAGCGAAGCGTTTGATTCGTGTTGACAGCATATTATTTCGAGTGGCGATTCTGCCGAGTTTTTACTCTAATAAAAAATGTATTAAAGCATGGATTTTTATTACTCCCATTGGCATTTGTTATTTGCATTTACTAGTGGAAATCATTCTTGTCGTTTTGTGTTGTTGTTGTTGCTGTTGATGCTGATGGCGTTGGTGGTTCAGCATTTGTTCTCAATTTCTGAGTTTAAGGTCATGGAAATTTTTCAAATAAAATTTGCATAAAGTTATTTTGATATATATGTATGTGCATACTTGTGCGGACACTAAGGGAATTTTATTATAAAATTGAGATTTTTTCATTTGCGCAAAAATCTGCCATTGCGATTGAAAATTGAATAAGTAGTCAATGATAAACATATGCGTATACGGGTGAAAATCAAGCAGATGGGGAATTTAGTTGCGGTAGAAACAAATATTTTAACTTTATTGCTAAATTGATTTTGCACTATGGTGAATTGGATTAGGTCGTCGTCAATTTAGTTGTGAGCGGCCAGAACACGAACTGACTAATTTTTGAATTTTTCACGAAACATACTAAACGAGGAACTAGACAGCCATTTTTGGGAGCGTCTTTAAAACTTAACAAAACAATGATAATAAATAAGATATGTACATTAATATATACGAAATGTACGGTATCAGTAATATCTATACCACCCCATTTCAAAGCGATATTGTTTGCCACTTTTGTTTATTTATTTATTTTAAAGAATTTGCAATTAGAATACCATTCACTCTCTAACAACACCCATATAAACCCAAGTTTAAAAACTAAAAAAAGTTTCAAAATTTCAGAAAACTAAAAAAAATTCAACAAATTTTCATCAAAATTTTAATTTTTTTTCTCAGAAGCGCTAGAATTTTTTACTACATTTTTATAGCCCATGCAATTTTCTGTATAAAAATACTGATTTTTTGAAGTTATGGAGTTAGAGTTTTGTTGGCGGAATTTATGGAAGAAAACCGCAACACCTTCGGCAAAAAAAAATCAAAAAACTCAAGGATAATTTTAAGCCACTTTAAACATGCAAATTATTGTAATAAAATTGATTGGGCTACTAAACGGTATACTCAAAACTTTTGATATGACCGATACTGTGTATGTATGTACCTCGATGCCTTATATGTAGCTCACATTGCGCCCGATCGAAATTCGCCTATTTCTGTGACGGCTATCCGTAATGAGCGGGCAATGCAATCCCACTGCTTGCATGTAGCGGTTTGTTTAAGTATGCTCTCTCTTATGAGGAATGGTAGTCGTACATATATAGTATATATTTACACATTTCCATTTAGAGATTTTGTAAGTACAAAGATTTCAAATGCCATGCAAACAACAACACAATTTACAAACAAAAGCAATCAAACGAAAATGCTTATCAATACACAAGTACTTACTTAAATATGTAAATATGTATATACATACATACCTTTATATCTCAGATTGATTTGCTTGCATTATGAATGCACATTCACGCCTATTTCCTTATAAGAAACCATAATAAAATATTTAATCAACTAATTTACTCACCTGTATATTTACTTATTATCATTCAATGAGGCGGTCGGGTTTTTTATTGCTTTGAATATACAAATAATACCGAATGATTGCGAGTAAATAATGTGCATATGTATGTTTAAGTATATACGCATTGACCCCTATCAAGCAGAACGAATATACTTCCGAAAATAGAAAACAACAATAGGTGTACTAGGGTGCGTCACCCTGCATACAAAAAAAAAAATATCGGTACCGCTTTTCCAACGGAAATATAAAACTTATTATATTTTTAGAAAGTATTTTGGAAATATATTAATATTTACGAAATTTATACCTTGTTGGAAACACCTCAAAAAAAAATATTTTTTCATAAATAAAATTAGTTTAAAAAAAAAATTTTTTTTCATATACATTTTATTCTTTATTTCGTCGACGAATCAAATCACAAATAAATTACATTTTTTCATTTGTTTGATGAATCAAATCTTTATTATACTTAAACTTTAGGAAAGTTGTGTCTGTGCAATAAAAATTTCTTCAAAAGAATGACCGAAGGTGATGCAGGGAATATGTATATCAAAATACATTTGGACTATTTTTAGAATTTTTGACTATCTGTTTGAACTCACTAAACTCCGGAACTAGTGAATTGATTTTCATATGACCGTGAAATTTGGTGTGCCCCATAACCAAGCATCATGGTGTGCCTAATAAAATGATATTTGAATAAGAAAAATTCATTATAACTTGGTAAG